GCTCGACCCCATGTTGCGAAAGTGGTCAAGACATACTTGGAAACATTGAAATGGGAAGTCCTACCCCACCCGCCATATTCTCCAGACGTTGCCCTCCCTCTGACTATCACTTGTTTCGATCAATGGCACACGGCCTGGCTGACCAGCACTTCCGGTCTTATGAAGAAGTAAAAAATTGGATCGATTCGTGGATAGCCTCAAAAGATGACCAGTTTTTTCGACGCGGGATTCGTACGCTACCCGAAAGATGGGAGAAAGTAGTGGCCAGCGATGGACAATATTTTGAGTCATAAATGTATAACCAGTTTTTTACAATAAAGTCTCGAATTTCGGAAAAAAACGGCGGAAGCAAAATTGTACAACATTGTATATAAAAAAATTGACATATTTTATAGATCTAGTTATATAATATTTTTCCCTGGAAACAGATTTGTAATAAAAGAAATACATTTTTCGTACCTCCTACTCTTCCCTTTTTAAAATGTTTTATTTTATTTATTTTTATGAGAATTTCTTGAATATATTTTACAAAATATTATATCATAGGCTAAATATATTTGTTTAAAAAATAGTCGCACATACGATTTAATAACTTTTTAATTTTATAATGAATTAATTTTTATTTCTTAATTTTTCTTATTTTTTTTTCTAAATGTTTTATTATAAATTTTTATTTCGAGTTCAAAAAATAATATATATAATGCACAGTTATGGAGAACAGATTTTTTTATTCTATAATGAAATTCATATACGAGCTACAATAATATTTTTTCATTTATAATAATATTCTATAAACGCGCACTTTTTTTTTAATTTTAGGAAGTCAACTTCTCAAGTCGATTACTCAATTCTTTATCACCTGGTAAAAAATTGTTCATGCATACAGAATATGTATAAATATGTATAAACATACATAAACACGTATAAATATTCATAAACATATATAATTATATGTATATATGAAATATGTCCGTATTATACATGTTTTTGTATGTTTATACATATTTATACATATTCATGCATAACAAATTTTTTACCATTTTCTTCTATCTTGATAATAATCGATATTTATGTTTTAATCTAGCGATAATTCTATCTTTATTAATACATCTCCGATTATGTGATCAAACTCCATTTATAAAAAATTTATTAAAAATTTTTTTCTTCTTAATTGTGCATCATATTTTATTTTTTGTATTCGAAATGAAATAGTTATATCATTTAAGAACAAAAAAAACAAGAAATAAAAATTAAAACTAATAAAAATTCAACTATAATACAAATATATAAAATTGAAAAATCTGTTTAATCATCTTTTTAGCAATATCATAAATTAATTGAACCAGCAGAATTATGTATACATACAAATTATAACACTTTTGTATAATTAATAATTTAATTTCAATGTTTATTTAAATTAAAATTTGAATAAGAAAGGAGAATATTATTTGAAGTACATCGAAAATTAAACATATATGGCGTACATGAAGAATAATTTTTTTATTAAGTGTTACAATGTTATCTAATTTTTCTTCGACGAATTCTCATCGTGTAAGAAGACGATAAAATCTATTTTTAAGGGCTGGTGGGAGCCATCGCTTTATAATTTCGGCTACAACATGATGAATTCATAACGTACCGTTTACGTGCAACGAGATGTTGAATATCGTGTGTTACACCATATCACTGTTTTCTCTTGTTTCGCTATATTTTGCTTGCGATGGTGTGAGTGAATCTTTGCGGAAAATGCGTAAGAAACAGTTATTTATTATGCACTAACAATTTCTGCAGGTGGTCACCCTATAATTAAACTATTATATATAAAATATAATAGTTTAATTAAAAAGTTTATTTCATAATTAATAGTGTATTGTAATTAATAAAATTCGTAAGACTTTGGACAGAACTTTGGAACTTTGATAGATATAAATTAAAAAATTGTAAAGAAAGTTATAATATAACAATGTCACTAATAAAATTAATCATTTCATTGAGTCTTGTTTATCTTTTTTCCTTCCGTTGTATTTATATAAATAAGAGACTTAAGATTTATACTTAATTAGTACGTATAGTATAACATTATTAAATAATAATTCTGAGATCTTGAAATAAATTAATAGAAATAAAATTAATATAAATAATATAGTAAATGTCTATTATATTTGATACATCTAATATTTTATCAACCTCTGATTTTAAATATAAAAAAGTTTAAAGAACGATGTTCTATTATAAAATTACGTATGTTATAAACATTTTTCATAAATACATAATACCTATTTTCTGTAAAATCACCTAAAATCACCACTTTCTTTGGTGCATCATTCATTAAAAAGTACGAATTTATCTGTTACATGCATTTTTAGCGACGATTGAGGCCAATGTCAGCAATAATGATGTCACGGAGGTGCAGCATACCATTTGCAAAATTGCAACGGAAGATGTGATCGCGAATGCACGTGCCACTGTCACAACAGTATTCACTGGAGCATGTAAGGCCAGTAAGTGAAAATAAAAATGAATAAAATATAATAGTCAATTTTTCATTTAATGATACCTTTAAATCTTTTTTTATACACTTAATGTACATTTTTTCCTTTATAATGATTTTTTTATGAGATTAATTGTAATATTTATAAATAGTTAAAAGAGAGAAAAATAAAATTTTTAGGCAATAATTTATCTTTCATAAGAAATAAACTTTCATCATTTTCGATAATATTAAAAGAAGATTCCATACGCATTTCAATTCTCAATTACGATTTTCTGATTTTAACATGTTATATCAACTAATTATACAATAAAAAGAGAGAATTGTGAACGATAACACTGCATATGGAGAATCTCAAACGTTTGGCGCACTGAATCTCGGCTTCAAATTTAAATAAAGATAATGATTTTTTAAATTATTGATACTATTATACTATTATATAAAGATAATAATCTTTATCCAATGAAATTAAATTTTAGAAATCGATTACATTTTTTTACTGGAACAAAATAATCTTGTCCAAATAAACATACAGAAAGTTAATTGTCGTTGATAAAAACGTATGCTTTCAGAAACAATGGACGAAAAATTCGCGAGTCTGGAAGAAAAGTTGAGCAAAGAATTTGCGGATATTAAATGGTTAATTTACAGCATTTTAGAGCAACAACCGAATTATTTGAAAAATATGCGAAACGCTAATCTTCACGATGGAATATTTGATGATTATTTATCCCCGAGACAAGATGAGATCGATAAATTCAATAATACCATGCAAAGCTTATCAATATTAAATGGTTAGTGCAATTATTATACGGTAATCTAGCTATATATTTTTTTTATTGAAATATGATACTTTTGTAATATATTAGTAGTAAAAAGAAATCCATTATTTTTTCATTCAATTTCATGCAAAAATAATGGATTTCTTTTTACTACACCTAATATAAATAAATTTTTTAAATAAATTTTCGCATAAGAAAATGCATTTATTAACATATGTAATTTATAATATATAGCAGTAGACTAAAGTTAAGTTAACTAACTTTACACTCTCAACTAAACACAGAGTAGCAACTAGAAACACAAAGTTCTTTAGTAATTGCAAGATTTCATGTTCTCAAAACTTTGCAAGTGCTTCTATTACTATACCATGGCCTATCTTGCATGTACGAATGAAATTAGTAAACTTGTTGGTGAAAGAACAATTTTGTACAATTACACCTTAACAACCATATGTTATTAAATTTTAATTAATTACATAATAGAAATTGAAAGAAAACTTCTATTTTAATATTTTTATATTAATTATTATCTAATATGTATTAATTATCAATTCTGTAAGTAGTAATATTTATATGTCTTGCAGAATAAATCTTGAATGGATTTCTATCTAAAACTTTAATTTCAAATAAATATGATTTATTGCAATCTTTAATAATTAATTAAATAATTAAATAAAATCAAAAATTTAATTTGAATTCTGAAAAAATGAATAACATTTAATGTTATTTAAATAACTTTTGCACAACCTGATTACACTCCAAAGCTTAGTATGAAAAATTAAATAGCTTTATTTTCAATCGCTTACAACTTGAATAATAATGTATAATCTATTTTCGAGAAACTAAGGCTATACAAAACATTGTGACAGCTTCGTATATGTTATCGCGTATGTATGTGGGATTCTATTCTAGAATAATGAGACCCAAAATATAACGCGGATGACGCGTATAGAAGTCTTGCACTTCTTGCATAACACGCATTGTATATACTTCAGAGCCTAAGCTAAACATTTGTATGTAAGAGATCATGGTTTTATGTAAATGGATTCTGTGTTCTGAAGGGAAGGAAAGGTGAGAGTTCGCCTTGTCTACGGGACGATAAAGCTGAAGCTTAGTCAGGATAAACATGATTCAAACGAAATGAATAGTACAACAAAGTACTGAGATTTATTTCGAGTTGCGGTATATGATTAACTCTGTCGCATTTGAATAGTAAAAGCGTAATCCGTTGAGAAACCAGAATAAAACTTGTAACGCAATTGCTATTAAATTTTAGTTGCATTGCATTATAATAAAATTTAATTATTCTAAGATATTCTAATTAAGATATCATTAAGATATTTATAAAATATTATGAGAAATATGGCTGTAAATCAATCAATTTTTACTTAAGTAATTGTATTTAAATAAAATATTTCAAAACTGTTGATATATATATCAATTTAATAATCTTTAATGAATTTAGACACCGAACTTTCTCAATAAAATTTTTATGTCAAGCTTATTGAGCGAATATTTAATATTATAAGTAGTCTACTTTTTTAACAAAGTTAACAAAAAATTTTAATTCGACGTTATATAATATCTCATAATTCAATGTTATATAATATCAAAATTTGATTATTAATGCTTAAATTACATAATAATACATGTAATTGGAGAATTAACGATCAAATTTTATATATGTAATTTTTTATATATGTAATTTTATATATGTAATTTGAGATTTACACTTCAATTAAATAAAACATGAGATTTTATCGTCCAAAATTTACTTGAACTCACTATTGAAACTTATCTCAATCTAATAATTATCGATTCTTCAATTAGCTTCATAAGAAGAATTCTATGTGTGTGACATAAGAAAAAAACTTTAGATCTAGACATATAACATTGTTATATCAAAGAATACAATATCTGATTATAAGCATCACAGAAATCTCTACGTTTTTTTTATGTAAATGTTACAAAAATGTTATATATTATATATA